AAAGGTTCTATATACCTCTGTGAAGCACGTCGACTCCGCCTATGTCGAAATGGCTTGAAATTTTTTTGGTAGTCATTTACACCCAAAATATGACCCCACACAAGATCTTAGATTTTTTTTTATAATTATTTTTATTATTACATTTTTCTTTGTGCCGCGTGAGACGAAATACGGTGAATTACATATTGAAAATAATATAATTTTGCATCAACCTCCACAAATATTTGTCTCCTAGGGCACAAGAGACCATTTGGAAAAGTTTGGCACCATTCCGGATCTTTTCGGGGGTGGACTCAGTTCAACGTATAATTAATCGGTGAAGTCGCGTGGAAATTCAATTAAAGTGAAAAAATTACCAAACCAATTCAGAAAAATCTCGAACTTGGTGGTGGCTTCACACTGGGCATTTGAAACCCTGATAAAAATTATGAGATCAATCAGGCACTAGAAAACACATGGACCAGAAAATTCAAAGTATAGTTAACAAAAGAATATAATCAATTAAAGGGTCTTTTCTCTTATTAAATAAATATTTGGGTGCTTTCTTATCGAGAAAGTGACTTAGTTCTGATGGCTAGCTAGTGCGCTGCGGTTTGGACCTTGGCTATGAGGTCGTGGGTTCAATGCCTGGCTGCCCTATTTTTTTGTCCAGCGCGACTATATTATTTTATCAAGAAAGATTTTATCTCGGTTATAGCCCAGAGCCGGGAGTAAAGGTCATCCTTTAGTCCCGGCTGGAGCCTCAAGCCAGGAGTAAAGATTTATTCCTAGTTGGAGGGTCCAGCCGGGACTAAAGGATGACCTTTAGTCCCGGCTCTGGGCTATAACTAGGACTAATTGTTGCCTGTCGTCGCCACACACTTGGGGCAGGAACTTTGTATCCTTGTTTGAGGATACAACCAGGACTAATAGTCCCTTTAGTCCCGAACACAAAAATACCAGGACTAAAGGTAAAAATAGAGGCGGGATGAAAGGTCTGTTTTCTAGTAGTGACTTCATGCATTGCATTTAGGCCTAGTGCACTTCGGAGAGCAAGCGAAAATATTTATTGAAAATATTTTGAAAAATGTTAACATGGCTCTAATATGTTTTTGGAAAATATTTTGAGGGTTAGCAACGCTTGCAAAGGAGTGTTAGACTGCTTGTGGATCGAATCGAGAAACGAAATCGTAGCTAACAAAGAAGTTTGCCTTGGGATGGTCATTGCCATGTGTGTGGCGGTGCACCGCCCTGGCCTGTCTGATGACCGGCTGCCTGAGGCAGAGAAGCGCTGGTGCTAGGGTTGGCACCGCCACCCCTAGGGCGGTGCCCACCTAGAGGTGGCTGAGAGCAGCGTGTTGGAGGGCGGTAACCGGTGTGTCCGGTGTACACCGCCAGGTGCATGGCGGTGCACTGCCTGGTCACTGCCATAGGCAGGGCGGTGCCACTGTCCCTCTTTACCCGAGAGCACCGAAAGCAAAAGAGGGCACCGCCATGGTCACCGCCATGGGTGAGGCAGTGCACCGCCCCTTTTATCCAGAGAGCAGGGAAATCAGGGGGCTCGGCTGGGTGGTCACCGCCACCCCCATGGCGGTGCCACCACCACCCTGTCCGGTGCCCCAACGGCTAGTTTTTAGCCATTGGAATTTGACCGTTGGGCAGGTCACCGCCCGGTGCCAGGCATCGCCCTGTTCGGTGACCTCGTAGAAACAGCTCCAAGGGGTATAACGGCTCTATTTGCTTGTGTGGCTATAAATAGAGGGTGTGGCTGGCCTTGGCACCTCATACATTTGTGCACACCCTTTGGAAGCTGAGCAACACGCTCCACTCACTTGTTCACTTGATTTCATTATCTTGAGTGAGATTGGAGAGCCTCTAGTTCATTGCATTGAGTTGCATCATCTTGTGGCACTAGTTGGGTGATTTGGGTTGGTTGTGAGCTTGTTACTCTTGGTGTTTGCCGACACCTAGATGGCCCGATTGTTGGAGGATCATTGAGCGGAGTTGGTGATTGTCTCCGGCCTCAATCGGTTGCTTGTGAGGGGTTTTGTGCCTTCCCTGGTGGAGCGTCAAAGGCAACTCTAGTAAATTGCTCGTGTCATTGAGCTACCTCACTTGTTGGTAGGTTCTTACGGTGTCCAATTGTGTGGGCGAGGTTCGTGCAACACCTCTTAGCTGTCGAACCACCAAGTGTTGGTCGACACAACGGGGACTAGCATGCCAGCAAGCGCGTTAACCTCAGGAGAAAAATCTTGTGTCTCTTGTGTGATTGGATTTCTCCTGGTGGTTGGATTGTCTTCATCTTATGATTGGTTCATTCCTCAACGCGGTGATATAATCACCATACTCACTCTTTTACATTCCTTGCAAACTAGTTGTCAAGCTCTTTAGTGTAATTAGTTTTGAGAGCTTATCTTGCTTGCTAGTTTAGTATCGCCTAGTGGAGCTCTTTAGTGTAAACTTATTGAGAGCTCTTAGTGAGTAGTGACATAGCCATTGTTTGTGCCTAGTGATCATAGCAACTAGAATTGTTGGATAGGTGGCTTGCAACCCTTGTAGAGCTAGAGCAAAATTGCATTTTGCCATTTAGTATACTAACCTCTTGCTCTAGTGTATTTGTAGAAATTTTTATAGGCTATTCACCCCCTTCTAGCCATTTAGGACCTTTCGTCGCTCCTGTAGTTGAGACACCGCGACCGGTAGATGCAATCCGCCTTGACATGGTCTTCACCCATGCAGTTGAAACACTTGCCGACCAGATTGGCCGGAACAGGCTTCGACTGCTTCGGTGGCGTACGCCTACACCAACGACGACGGCTCTGGACCTGGTGGAAACCCTGAGCATTCGGCATGCCTGAGGCGCGCACCGGGTGGGCCATCGGGGATGGTGGGTGACGTTCCACCACCATAGGTTGTTGAGGATGAGATGCTTGCGGGTGGGCATCCAGTCGGGGGTGGCTACGACAGGCCGCGGCCATGAAGCCATCCAGATTCCTTGCACGACGACGATGACGCGGGCACCGGCGACGACCAGCATCCACCATGACAGCCTTCCTCTTTCCCTCTGGTGGCGGGGAGCAAGGCTCGAAGTCGTAGGAGGCCTCCGAGTTGGAGAAGGAGAGCTTCCCACCGTAGTCAAACCCAGAACCCACCGGCGAGGAGCCACCGTGGAAGAGGGGCGCGTCGGGGTTGAGGCCCGGCATCTGCGATGAGTCACCGTAGAAGGGGGTGCGTTGGGGTTGAGGCCAGGCGACATGGCGGCGAATGGCTGAGAGCCCGCCACAAGCTCCTCTTCCTCGACCTCATCTGCCCATGAACGCCGGGAGGAAGAGCCGTGCTCAATGGCTTACAATGAGGCGGGAAGAGCAAGAGGGAGGGACAAGGGAGGACGCCGAGGCCCTAGGGGCTGACGGAGATGGGGCCAGAGTGACTACCGGTGGTGGGGGTTGTGGACGCCGGGGCCGGAGTGGCCCACGGCGGTGGGTGGAGCGGAGCTCAACGGGAGCTCAGCTCAGTCCTCCATTCGACGATCGCTCCCCGTGTGTGCAGCTGTACCCATATATACCGTCATGTTCGCTTGGCTTATAAGCCGTACTTTTCCAGCCAACGAACAGTATTTTTCTCTCACAACAAATTAGCCAATAGTACTTTCAGACTATCAACCAAGCGAACAAGGCATACATGATCAGCTGACAAGATCTTTAGCTTATTAGAATCTGGCAGCAAAGGCCACGGAGCTGCCAAAGTGCTAACCATGAATATCATAAGTTTATAATAAGATCTTTAACTTATATATTATGATAGTTAAAATTGTTAGACAAATTATTGGTTAAAGATTTTGTAGTATAAATCTTGATTGTGCGTGCACCTTATAAAAGAGAATGAAGGGAATAATATGATTTTTAATAAAATATAATTGTAACATTTGATAGATATATAAGATTATAAAATAAGTTGCAACACGACTCCTATTATGTTCATAGATTAAATTGCTGAAATTCTTTGATGGCCAAAGTTTTGAAAGTTTGACTAAATTTTGGTCAAAGCGTTAAATATCCATGACTACAGTCCACAAGGAGTTTCGTGTCCCGAGGTCACTAGGACAAAGTGCATTCATTTGGAAAGGTCCATTTTACTCTCTGAATTATTGTCTTGGTATATTTTTATTTTCTTACACTCTAAAATTAAATATTTTAACCTCTCAGCTCTCAAAACAGTTTAAATTAACCCCTGCCACATTAGAAGTTGTTTTCAAGACTGTTTCATCATTCTTACAGTTAAATAATCAAGTAAGTATTTGATAAGATTTTTAAACCATAAAAATGTCTAGGATTCTAAAAATACCGAGAAAAATCCTAGAGATATATTGAGACACAAAAAAGCCAAATAAAATATTTAAAGCTCGTAAAAATGTCTGTAGAGGCTTAGTTCTAGGAAAATTGGAAAATATCCATGAAAATGTGGAAATTTTCCAAAACATTTTAATTGATGTGTAAATGTGTTCTAAAAACTTTAATATGAGATGCAACCAACAAGAATAAAACCACTTCTAACCCAGCTAGAAGGTAATTTAAACAATTTTGAGAGTCGAGGGAGTAGATCAGTAGAATGTCTGGTTTTGAAGTTTTAAGAGAAAAAACAGACTTCTAGCATGCAGTTGGGCTGCACTGGGCTGGCCTGCCGTGTGAGGCCCAGAATCCTGCCGGCCTGCTGCGGGGTTCTCTTTCGTCACGTGCACCACCAGGCCGCCGCCGAACGTCGATTCAATTGTCATCCACCTAGCAACCTCAGCTCGCTGACCTCGTCTTCTTCCTCATCTTCCTCGTCCAAATGTCCACGCAGCTCGCCGGGCGCTTCGAAATGTCCGTCCTCCGTCGCCGTCAGCGTCGGCTCTGCCGCTCTGCCTCGTCCTGGAGCGGAACTGCGGAAGCATCGTTAAGTAGTCATAAGTCATAACACACGAGCTGAGTTGAGCATCCGATCCTGCGCCAGTCACCACGCAGCAGCACTGCAGCAGTGATATGGCGATGCAGGTGCTGGCCGTCGCCTCCCTGCTACTGCTTCTGTGGCCGGCGCACCGCGCCGGCGCCGCCGAGTACGTGGTCGGCGACGTCAGCTACGGCTGGGAATCCGGGTCCGGCATCAACTACGCTGCCTGGGCAAGGGAGTACGCCTTCGCCGTCGGGGATGTCCTAGGTCAGCTCGATCACCGCCTGCCGCCTGCTCTGCTCATCATATCAAAATGCATCCCTGCATGATATATACACATGCATATGAACACTACTTGTTTCGTGTGCGTGTTTAATTTGCCCATGAGATTCATATATACTGATGATCCATGTACGTACTTTGATGTTTGATCTGCTGCGTGCAGTTTTCCAGTACGTGAGCTCCCAGCACGACGTGTACGAGGTGACCGAGGAGGTCTACCGGTCCTGCGACACCGCCGCCGGCGGCGGCAACGGCGTGCGCGTCAAGTACACCAGCGGATACGACCGGGTGGTGCTCGCCGAGGCGAGGGGATACTGGTTCATCTGCGATTTCCCGGGCCACTGCCTAGGAGGCATGAGGGTCGCTGTCAACGTCTCCTCCGGCGCAGCAGCAGGAGGAGGATCGCCGACTGTGAACCCCCCGCCTGACGGCAGTGCGGCGTCGACGACGACCGGAGGTCGCCCAGGTTGGGCGGCGGCGGGGTGTCTGGCTCTCGGTGTCCTGGCGTTGATAAATACTAGGCCCTTTTGCTACTATAGGCAGTATGGTCACTGACAGAGACATAGCAATAGTCGCAGTGTTTGCTGAGAAAATTTACCAAAAAAGCATTTTGTGCATTTTTCAACTTTATGCGATTTAGATTATATTTAGTACTATATTTCAAGCGCCTGAATTTTCGGGCAACCAACTTGTATGGTTAAAATGACAAAGAACAAAACATATATTATCTCTTTACTCGAACAATGATAAAGTTATATGTTGTCTGGACACCCAACAAAAAGATAAGCACCTGAGAGATAAAAGAAGTGTAGATATATTGGCACACAAATTTAATGGGAAAAATCGACCATATGCCAAAACGACAAAGTCCTAATCCTGGTCAGACATAGTTTAGCCCCAAAGCAATTAGTTAAGTTCTGTTCTTTCAGCCATCAGACATGATTAGCCTAAAGTTTATTTTCTTTTTTCCATTGGTGCGGTTATACAAGAACCGTAGTCTTCGATGAGGATTTTTTTATTTTTAACACTTTTTTAAACTAATTTTAAATCTAACATTGTTTTATTTTTTTTTAAAACTAACACTTTTGGCCGCCCCTATTGCCATGGCTCAAGATGGCATTGCACTGATGGGTACTGCCACCCGTATGGCCAGCGGGTTACCCAGACCCGCAGGCGGTAGTAGAAAATTCATTCCATACCCGCACCCGACGGGTAATTTTTTACCGACGGGTAATTCTTACCCGACAATATATGCTTCCAAAGGAGCAAAGAAAACGGGGCTGGTGGAGGGAGTGAGGATGAGGATTAGGGTTTGAGGGAGTTCGAATATATATACTCATATGCTTATATGGGCCAAATATGGGCTATATGCTTATATGAGCTAAAATTGCGAGGGTTGGATATTATTTATGCGGGTTTTTTACCCATGGTATGCGGTATGGGTAGTATACACCACACCCATACCCGCATACCCGATGATACAAGAATTAATAACGCATCTGCGGTGCAAAATATCTTCCATACCCGCCTCCTTATCGGGTAAAACCCGTCGGTACTGGGGTTTTTTCCACCGTTGCCATCTTGGGCCATGGCGCGGCGAAAAGCTGTGCCGCGCGCCATACATGGTGGCGCGCGCGGGAGGGATGACGTGGCGACGAAGGGCCGCTTCATGACATGGCGGTTCCTGCATGCCCACCGATTTTGCGCGCCACCTCGATAAGTGGCGCAGAGAAACCCAGCTAAAAGGGCATGCGCCCATCCCGCCTGCCTTCATGCCTTCGCTTTCAGCCACACCGCAGCCGTGCCTTCGCCCCGCCCGCACTACTGCCCCGCCACTCCCAAGTGCTGTCGGCGCCCGGCCGTCTGTTTCCGCCTCCCTCCCTCCCTTCCATTCCATTCCCTGGCCGCCTCCCTCCCTCCTCGGCCTCGTTCAAGGTAATGACACACTTTATATTTTCGTTTGAATGCTGGTTTGAAATATTATGAATGAGAGTTAAGGTTATGAGGAAAATTATGTTTGGGAACTATGGGCTATGGTTTGGAGGAAGATATTAGTTTGATTTTGTCGATGTTAAGGTTAATTATTTAGTTAGAAGTATGTTTACCATGTATATTTTTGTTGCTATAAGTGTTGGTTATATTATTTGAGTTGCAATGCAAATGATTATATTTTACATTAATTTGTGATGTTTTGAGTGATGTTTAATTTGAACCGTTTTATTAGATGGAAGACATGTTTCGGGAGCAGTTGTGGCAAAAACGGGGTTGCCCTAGAGAATTGTACCCCGACGAGTCTAGCAAAGATGCTCCCGTCCCTCCTGACCTCCCTGTCCCTAACTGTGACTGTGGTCGTCCGGCCGACGTGTTTCAATCGAGACATCCGGACACAGCGGTTCGTTGCTTTTACACATGCAGTCGTTTTAATGTAAGTAATTGTTTCCGTATATTTTTTTCTTCATTTGTATTACTAGGTTACTAATATGTTGTTGGAATTTTGTTGTGTAGGCCCATGAGAGGTGCTTTTTTCTTTCAGTGGATCGATGGTGCAGACAAGTTTAACCCTAGGTACCTAATTTTCGACGATTGGTGGAGACGGCGACATCCACGAGAGCACTTCGAGCGGTAGGTTCCACCTTCCCCTAACCCCCTCCAATGACGACTAAGGAGAAGCACTTAGCCGCTTTTAGACGACTCGAGGAACGCCCCACTGTGTGATTGTGGAGATCGAGCTGTGATAAACCCTGAAATTACGTTGGAGTTTGTGCGTCCAAACTAGCATGAAGTAAGTGCAAAGTGTATGTGTTGAAATGTTGAGCTATATGTGTTCATGTACTAATGTCACCTTATTTAGGTGTTTTCAATGGCGAAGTGTCGTTTCAAGGAGTGATTGTATGGTCCTAAGAACTAATGGCCGGAAGAACCGCCAAAGGTTAAGGAAAAGAAGAAAAAAGGGTAATTTACAAAACACCTCTTGTCATGTGTGAATGTGGTGTTAAATCCAACTATGGCCTAGTCCCTTCGGAGCTTGGAATAGGCCATTATTGCGACCATATGATTGATTATGATGAGGTTGGTTATTTTTGTGGTAAACATGAAATTGTATTTTGTTTCTTTTGCTAAGACATATATGATATAATTTTTTGTTTAAACAGAGCACTAGGAAATGCAGGTGGGAATGTTATGATGGTCAAGCTAAGTTCTTGGATGAACTGAAGGGGAGGGAAGTAATTGTACGGAAGAGGGGATATGGACCTGACTACATCAACCTATTCGTTAAACATCACAAAGACAAGATGCGTGAGTTTGCTAGACAGCGCGGTATTCGTAACCCGATCGATGTTGGGCTTGATAAATGGGGATTGGAGAGATGGAGGGTGTTAGAGGAGGAGAGAGCAAGCAAGGAGGCAAGGGAGGAGACAAGAGTACAGATTGAGGTCTTGAATGAGCAAGTTGTTGCATTATATGCCAGTGAGTGCTTGAAAGCCATTTTTTCGTTGCCTGATTTTAAATGTAATATAATCATGTTGCTAACTGATTGCATTTTATATATAAAGGGATTGGATGCAGCGAGGACCATGATGGAGAGGTGGCTCATGCAAGGTATAAGGAAAAGAAATTAGATGAGCACAGAACACGAGCTGGTCGCACCGTTCAATCACCGATTGTGTTGTCTGATGAGGGGGACGATGATGAGGACGACATTGCCAGACTGAGCGAGCTCATCGCTCTAGCAGAGGTGGGCTTGTAGGCGGAGGAGGCTAAGGACAACACTGGCAGACTCAGCGAGCTCATCGCTCTTGCTGAGGCGGGCTTGTAGGCGAAGGAGGCTGAGGACGACACTGGCAGACTGGGCGAGTTCATCGCTCTAGCAGAGGCGGGCTTGCAGACAGAGGAGAATGACAACACGTTCTTCACTCAGGCTGTAGAGGTCGCAGATGAAGCGGAGGCCGCTTACTACAGGCAACACGCAGGTCAGAGCAATGCAGGTGAGCCTAGCCACATGAACGAGGAGGAAGAGAACGCGTTCTTGTCTCAGGCCGCAGATGAAGCGAAGGCCGCTTATTACAGGCGAAAGGCAAATCAGGGCAATGCAGGTGACCCTAGCCACAGCAACAGGGTTGTGGAAGAGGATTGGTACTTGGACGATGAGTTGCTTACTCAGTATGTTTCTGACTGAGGGTTTTTTATTGTGCCATCTATTAGTTCCATGCTTTATTAATGATCAATGTAGCTATGTACTAGAACTTTCATTGTGTTGTGTTATTTTCCTTTTGAACTATTGATGTATTGTACCCATGTATCATGTACTCGGATTACCCATGGTCGATCTTAAGTGATCCCATCCGTTTGTCACCCTCCGAGCCATCCGTTTGTCGCTCTCCGATGCATCCAAGTTTTTTTAATAATAGCGAATGCGTTGAGAATTTATAAAACGAACAAAATCGAGTGAAATTATTTCGAATACGGTTGGCTGACATATATATCTTGCATGTTTCCCATGTATTTTAAAATAGTAGCATGTAATTTATGTTATTTGCATCAGATCAATGTAAAATAACTAGGCCCACGGCGTGGCACGTTTGGCAGATTGATGTTCTCGTTTGGCACGCAACCCTAAGCCTAGGTTTTGCCGCGCCATAGCCCACGGCGCGGCACTGACACGCCAAGGTCCATGGCGTGGCAGGACCTGGACGCAGACAGAAGCCGACCAGCCTCAATTCTAATTGAACGGGAGTTATTGTCGGTGTTGTAAACAACTACAAGTGTTGCCACGACGCATTGAAACGAATATGAAGCAAATAATAGGAGTCCGTGCGTAAGTTGACAAGTTGCGACATAACATTTTAATTGGTTCATGAGTCTGTAAGTTTCGGATGACAATATTCGTTCGACATAAGTTTGACATAATCAACTAAGTCCCAGGAGTGTAAGGATCCCTCGGACGCCTCTGTCTCTTCAGATTTATAGGCAACACAGTGGGAGTGTAGCCAACGTCGATGTGGGGCCTTCAAAGGAGGCAAGGGCACCTCTGCGTCAGTGTCAGTCAAGAAGTGTGCTCAGTGTAGGTCGTCGTACTCCACCTTAAGAAGGGGGTACAACTGGTGCTGCGTGGGAGGGACCATCCTGTTACAAATTGATAAGTAAAGGGTTAGAGTATTCAAATTAACAATATTCAAATTAACATTATGTAGCATTACAAAATTTGAACTTCTATGTATAGACCTGTTGCCCTCGCCTTCTATGACTGCTAGCCTTGTGACCAGGGTCTTTGCAAACGGAGCAAAGATTCCTACCACGGGTCTCGTTGAAGTTTCCCTCTCTGTACATGTCTTCGTTATACCCTCTCATTAGATCTAGATGCGGCACATAGTCATAACCATTATAAGGTGGCCACTGTGTCGGGTCAAGGTATGGCTCGAAGCTCATCTCCCAAAAACTAACGGTGTTCGAACGGAGATACAAGGGTGACATATATGGCAGATCCTCATAGTTGTACCCGCGAACCCTGCAGGCCATGATCATATGAGAGCAAGGGGCATGCATGATCTGAGGGA